GCCACGCAGAGGCCATTTCCTGGTGCACACTGCCACCTGCTGGATGCAGCCTCCAGGGCACCCCTTCCAAACAGAGGCAGCCCTTACTAACCTGCTGCTAAACTGTGTTGAAACTGATGGCTCCACCCAAGGGGGTGTCTTCCATCTGGCATTCCTCTTTGGGGATGGTTCAACTCAGACTCATTGACTTAAGAAGGAAGGATACAAAATGCCTTGGTAGTGAAATGCAAACGGTATGTGTGTGTATATTCAGGAGCTCAGCCAGCCTGGCCTTGGTATCCTCTTGGATTTTACATGAAGACTTGCCTTTCTGGGAGAAATGTTATCCCCTACTTTATCATCTGGATTTTGTTCTTCTCCTCTAGACAGGGCTCACCCTGTCGTCTGATAGGCAGAGTGATGTAAGGCCACCCTGACTCAGCCAGGGACGGAAGTGACTAGAGGCTGAGTCATAGAAGGTTTAAGCTTTGTCTACCTCTGGTTGCTCCACATCTTGAGTTCAGCCTTCTGAGGGTCCCAACAAAGAGCCTGGGACATTTACTAGCACCCTTTCCCTTACCCAGCCCTGCACTCCAATTTTTACCTTGTCAGCACTCTGCCCCACTCTTCACGGACTCACCAGGGTGGAGGGGGGCAGGGAGCAGGACATGAAAGGTAGTGAAGTCCTTAAGGGTCTAAAGAATATAGGGATAATGGACTTCCGGCCAAGATGGAGTCATATGTAGACACACTGTGTCTCCTCACACAACCAAAATAAGGACAACAAAAATTTAGAAACCGGGACTGACAGAAAATTGAACTGTACCCGAAGTCCGACAACCAATGAGTTAAAGTAGACACATTCATCCAGACCAGTAGGAAGTACAGAGTCAGGTGGCCCAGAGAGGGGCTACAAAAAAAAAAGTGGTGGCTTGCTGACCCCAGTTGTTCAAGGCAGCAGCTGACAGACCCTGGTGCTCAGGCAGTGGCTGGCAGACCCAGGGCATGGGGTAGCAACGGGCAGACCCAGCAAAGCGCACAAAGTGGCTAGTTGACCAGGTGGTCATACATTCGCTGGCTGATAAACCAGGTGAAACTGGGGATTGAGACAGACCTCCTAAGCCAGGGCTCCAGCAATGGGAAATAAAGCCTCAAAACACTGATTGCAAACACCCGGGGGGGTTGAGGTGCTGAGAGAGACTCCCAGCCTCACAGGAGAGTTCCTTGGAGAGACTCACAGGGTCCAGAATGTACATAAGCCCACCCTCCCAGGAATCAGTACCAGAGGGGCCCAGTTTTTTTGGTGGAAGCGGCAGAAGGGACTGGAATCTGACAGAGGGCGAACCTCTGTACCTTTCCCAACAAGCGCCATTGTTCCCTCTCTGACCCCTGCCCCCACAAACAGTGTCACAACACAGTGACTGGATTGACCCACCCTCGTGAACACCTAAGGCTATGCCCCTCACTACGTAACAGGCGCAACAAGACAAAAAAAAATGGCCCAAATGGAAGAACAGATCAAAGCTCCAGAAAAAAATACAAGATAGGTTGTATAGGTAGCCAACATATCATATGCACAGTACAAAACACTGGTGATCAGGATGCTCACAGATTGGTTGAATTTGGTTGCAAATTAGGTGAAAAAAAATGAAGGCTACACTAAGTGAAATAAAGGAAAATGTACAGGGAATCAATAGTGATGGGAAGGAAACTGGGACTCAAATCAATGGAATGGACTAGAAGGAAGAAAGAAACAATCAAACAGAAAAGAACGAAGAAACAAGAATTCAAAACAAATGAGGAGAGGCTTAGAAACCTCCAGGACATCTTTAAACATTCCAACATCCAAATTATAGGGGGTACCAGAAGGGAAAGAAGAAGAGCAACAAATTGAAAACTTATTTGAACAAATAATAAAGGAAAACTTCCCCAATCTGGCAAAGGAAAGAGACTTCCAGGAAGTCCAGGAAGCTCAGAGTCCCAAAGAAGTTGGACCCAAGGAGGAACACACCAAGGCACATCAGAGTTACATTATCCAAGATTAAAATGAAGGAGAGCATCCTAGAAGCAGCAAGTGGATAAGGAGACAGTCACCTACAAAGAAGTTCCCATCAAAATGTCAGCTGATTTCTCAAAGGAGACCTTACAGGCAAGAAGGGGCTGGAAAGAAGTATTCCCAGTCATGAAAGGCAAGGACCTACATCCCAGATTGCTCTACCCAGCAAAGCTTTCATTTAGAATGGAAGGGCAGAAAAAGTGCTTCTCAGATAAGGTCAAGTTAAAGGAGTTCATCATCACCACGCCCTTATTATACGAAAAGTTAAAGGGACTTATCTAAGAAAAAGAAGATAAAAAACAGGTACAATAAAATGACAGCAAACTCACAATGATTAACAACTACACCTAAAACAAAAACAAACAACTAGAACAGGAACAGAACCACAGAAATGGAGATCACATGGAGGGTTAGTAACAGTGGAGTGGGAGGAAGATAGGAGGGGAAAGGTACAGAGAATAAGTAGCATGTATTGTAGGTAGAAAATAGACAGGGGGAGGGCAAGAATAGTATAGGGAAATGTAGAAGTTAAAGAACTTATAAGTATGACCCATGGAACTAAAGGGGGGGAATGTGGGTGGGAGAGGGTGTGCAGGGTGGAGGGGAGTGAAGGGGGGAATAGGATGACTGTAATAGCATAGTAAGTAAAACATTTTTTAAAAAAAATTTTTAAAAATAATAATAAACGTCTGCTTTGTGAAAGGCACTGTTAGGGAATGGAGTCCCAGTGCCACACAATGTAGAGTACATTGCCTCCAGGCAAGGCTGGAGGAAGTCCTGCGAGTCTAAGCACTGGGACTCTAAGGCACTTCTCACCACCCCTGGGCCCTGTGGCATCTGCAGCACGCCAGAAGTCACAAGCACCTGTTCTTGAGAGAGAGAGAGAGACAGAGAAACAGAGAGACAGAGAGACAGGGAGTGAGAGAGAGAAATAATAAATGAAAAGACAAGCCACAGACTGAGATAAAATATTTGTGAAAGACACATCTAATAAAGGACTGTTGTCTAAAGTATACAAAGATCTTTTAAAACTCAACAATAAGAAAGCAAACACCCTACTTAAAAAAGGTGGGCTGAAGAACCTTAACAGGCATTTTTATCAAAGACAGTTAGCAAATAAGCAGGTGAAAAGGTGCTCAATGTCATATGTCCTTAGAAAACTGCAACTTAAAACAGCAGTGAGATACCGCTCCCTGTGTTCTGTGAGGTCCACATCAAAACCCACAGAATGAACAACACCAAGAGTGAACTTAATGTAGAATATGGACTTTAGATAATAATAACAGATTAATATTGGCTCACCAATTGTACCACATTAACATAAGAGGTGACATCCTCTATGATTCCATATACATAACATTCTTGAATTGGCAAAATTACAGACATGAAGAACATATTAATGATGGCCAGGAGTTAAGGGTAGGGAGGTAGTGGGGAGAATTGGGCGCAGCTATAAAAGGGCAACATTGTGGACCCTTGTGGTGATAGAAAGTATACTGCATACACTTGTATATAAAATGGATATTGCATAATATACATTTACATGTATATAACATATACAAATACCTTTGAGGACATCACCCACATAAGTGCTTCTGAAACAGGAAATGATACTGTATGCATTAACTATGCAAAAAAGTGCCTTGTTGTACCAGATGACTGCTCAACAGACTATACATTTAATGTCACTGGGGGTCATAGACAAACGTAAATAGTAACAGTGCTAATATTTACTGAGAAGAGACTGTGTACCTGGGATATACATTTTACTTCCTGTGGATTATCTTATTTAACATTTAATGCAACTCTCTGCAAGAAATATTATTACTGTCCCTCTTTCACAAATGAAGAAAGTGACACTGAACTTTATAAAAGTAACAAAAGTCATGGACTTCAGAGCAAGGATTTTTGCACCCAGTCCATCAGGACCCAGCTTTGATGAGCTCTCTCTTTTACTAAAAAATAGGCAAAATGGTAATAATAAGTCGAGGTAGACACAAGTGGTTTTAGGGAGCAGAGAGAAGAATGCTTATTTGTTTCTATATGAATATGCACATTGTTTGCACTTGAATATGTTTACCTGTTCATATATCTAGCCAATCTTGTGATTTATCAAGCATTTTATTATATTCCCTTAGTTTTCTTAAAACTGTGTACACATAGAAACTAAACAGATACTAATGGAAATTTTTTGAAAAGGGGATGTTTCAAATGTCCAAATGATGCATTCACTATGTCCAGCTGTACTAGTAAGGGAACAAATATAGACAGATTTTTAAAACAGTCAAATTAGATGACAGTTCATCTATCCATCAGCAAACACTTCTAATACTACTGCTGAGATGCTTTAGAGAGTCAGCCACACAGTCCATCTTATTTGACAGTGGGGCGGATTGATGTGACTTATCGGGACAGCAGCTTGGGCGTGGATTTGTTGTGAAATACATTTACAACCTTTATCTCAGTATTTCCGCTGCTGGGAATCTGGCCTAGGGACATAATCAGATGGACAGACAGAAATGTTTTCAGTGTGGAAATGTTTGCCATATTAGAGTACTTAAAACACTGGAGACAGTCTACATATCCAGCAATGGAAGAATAGATTAAAAGTTACTGCACACTAAATATAAAATGCCCCATCAAAATCTGTTTTCAAAGGTTGTCTAATGACATGAGAAAGCAATGGTGGATTGCTCAGTGACAAACACACTCTTAGCCTAGTATAATGCAAGTAACTTAAGATTTCTATCTGCATATCAAGTCTTTGAAGTAAAAAGATAATGAGGAATGGTTATTTCTGATGCTGGACTAATGATTTATACTTTTCTCCATTATTCATTAGCCATCATATTATCTACTTTGCATGCAGAATATCTATTACTTTTCCAATTATAAAACATGAAACATCATTATTGAGGGTGATTCTTATGGAAAGTTTCATCTTTCCTTTGTTAAGGATATTGTCATGAAGCAGACACGTTCCAGCACAACTGTTGATCCTTCTCCATCTGACACGGGGAACAGTAGCAGCACCGTTCAATGTGAAGTCGGTGGGCATGAAGCATCCCTTACAATTCAGAACCCAGATGTGAGCAGAAGTGACAAGTGTTATTTCCGCTTTACTTTCAAAGAAGGCTCTGGGAAGAGAAACCATAGCGTGATTAAAGCATGTGGTGAACTCAGTGAGAGTATCAACTCAGCTCTGAGAACTAATGAAAATGTCCTCAAAACGATAGAGAAGTGTTCCAATAAGAACATTTTTGTCTATGGGAAGGAAGCAATAGAAGGATATATCAATTTAGGAATGCCTCTCAAGTGCCTACCAGAAGGTTCTAAACTTGAAATATCAGTTGGTCAGAGAAAGGGGAACCAGGAGGAAGGTGATCAGAAATTACGCCGCTATGAAAATCCCAGCATCAAGTGTGTTCTTTTTCACGTTGTGGCTATTGGGAAGAGCATAAAGAAGATTGTTAGCAACAGGGCCCTTCATGAAATGGGAAGTACACTTTGTGTCTACGCCTTGAAGGGTGAGACTATCAGAGAAGCCCTGTGCAAAGATGGCCGATTTCGGTCTGACCTGGATGAATTCGAGTGGAAACTCATAGAAAATCATAGAAACATTCATGGAAAACAGTCCACAGTGGAGGAAGTAGCTGGAAAAACCTTAGAACTGGACATTTCTAAAAAGTCACCAGTCAGGAATTGTACCCACTTAAAAATTGGACAGAATGACAATGCCACGGGTGAAGTCAGTCCCTACGATGTGATGCCAAGGCAGAATCAGGTCCCCCAGCCAGAGAATGATGGAGAGTCTGAAGGTGTAGAACACGACCGAGAAAATGTTCTGCCTCCTCGAAGTCTAGAGAATGATCTGGAAGGTAAAAAACGGCAGACAATTTCCAGAATGAAAAGAAATGACAGTGAGAGGAACAGAAAATGTGGGGAAGAAACTTCACGTGCTTCAGAAAGGCCCCGTCTGCGTATGGAAAGTGCTATTAGCTGGGATATGCAGGGGGAGGCAACTCAGCACTGGCTAGAGAACTGCACAGTGTTGAACAACGTTATTATGCAGCGCAATCCTCATTTTAGTGAGGCTGTTCGCTGGATGAGAAAGTATTTTGAGGAGGAACAGAAGAGAACCAAACTGCCGCCATCCCACAATTCAAAATATATAAAAAGTGCTTTGGCAAAGTAACTAAAAATTCCTTTCCAGTTGCAACCTGTGAACATCTTACTGGACTTAGTAAGTCAGCTGGGCATGTGAGATGGGATAATAATGGCAAAACAGGCAACGCTACTTACTTCGTCTTCAGTGATGGTTGTATCTTCACTTGTCAACATATTGTACACATGATGGTTGGAGAAGACACACATCCAAGTCAGTGGCCAGATATAATAAGCAAATGTGCAAAAGTAACCTTCACTTACAAAGATCTCTGTCCCCCTGCTAAGGAATGGTTTTCCCTCGAGCCAGATGTTGAAGTGTCTGCTGGAGATCTAGATTATGCCATTTTAAAACTAAGAGCAAATGGAAATGGATTCCCTCCAGGACTAGTTGGCCACATTTCCTCGCTGCCATCTAGTGGTTTGATTTATATAATTGGTCACCCAGAAGGCCGGAGGAAGGAAATAGATGGGTGTGCTGTGATTCCTCTACAAGAGCATGAAGGGAGGTACTCCCAGAGGCATCAACATGAGGTGGCGGGACCAGGACTGCAAGCTGCCACTCAGCATATTTGCTCCATGTTCACCCCAAGAAGTTTCCCACCAGAGGCTTACCGCACTGACATACTTAGTTATGATACTTGCTTTATGACTGGGTCCTCTGGCTCCCCAGTGTTTAATGCAGATGGCAAAGTGGTTGCTCTGCACTCCTTTGGGCAGTTTTATGAAAGTGAGGGTAAGGAGCATGCCTTCATTGAATTTGGCTATTCTATGGATTCAATTCTTTGTGATCTCAAACAGAGGAAGGAGACCTTGTAAAAGTGTTAACTGCAGAGAAATATGAGAACCTCAATGAAGAGAAAAATAACAAACAAGAGTGGTCACTTCGAGATGATCAGATAAAACCCATGGAACATTAGGGAAACATGAGCCCTGGTCAGGTGGCTGAGCTGGCTAAAGTGTCGTCCTGTACACCAAGGGTCTGTGGGTTTGATCCCAAGTCACATGTTGGATTCCTGGTTGTGTCACATATGGGGGGCAGCAGATCGATGTTTCTCACATTAATGTTTCTCCTCACTCCCTTTGCTCCTTCCCTCTCTCCCTTTCCCCATCTGAAATTCAATAAACAGAAAATCATGTGGGGATTAAAAAATGAAAATATGTCAATAATTTAGAGTGTCTGGACTGGCTTCGTTAAAGTATACTGAATATGCTTTCTTATTTAGAAAACTTTTAGAGAATCATGTGGATGTGCAGAATATATATTAGAGCTAAAATAAAAACTGATTTTTTTTTGCTCATTGGCTTATTTTTTTATGTGAAACGATCTCAAACCTCACATATAATACTTAGCTTCCTTTTTTCCATACAAAGAATTTGGCACTTGGTATCAGGTGTAGCCACCAGCTTCACCCCGGGAATGCAGTCTCCTTCCTGTGGCCTGCAAGGTGCTTAGTGCCAAGGGCAGCGGCAAGCACCCCGTGAAGCACATTTCATTTCTAGGGTATGCCCTCTGTCCCCAGAGATGTCGGGCAACTTCCACAGCACCACTCCCTACCACCTCTTGCCTCTCCTTTTTCACGTCTACAGAGTCTACAAGGAGACAATCGCAAGTCCCCTCTTACAGTAACTTGTTCCCTCCCTCTGTGTGTGTATGTGTTGGTCGGTACCAGTCAACTGCACCCCTTGAGGAAGATTTAAGGAATAACGGGAACTTGATAAAACTCAGTTTTCACTTTTTTCTAACTTTTTTCATCCTATTTTTACATTCGTGCTCTTAAGGTTTGCTCTCTGCAACCGCCACCCAGCACCTGGAATGGGGCAGTGACTGTACTTCTCAGTGGGTCACTCACATTAGGTCAAGTTAGGAAAACCTTTCCCCTCCGTTCCACCTACATCGTCAACTGTCACGCAGACATCTACTTTTCCCTGAGGTAGGAAAGGAGTTGTCACCGTCCTCACGGAGCAAGTCTGCTCTTCCCGCATTTGACCAGCTTTTCAAACACGGCCCCCAGTACCGAAGGGATCTGCCCTGTTCGGGTTCTTCAACCAGAAGGTGTTTGTGTGAAGCCCCTGGAGGGCGCGCCTTTGCCGTGGGTTGGGAGATGCCCGACTCCGGAGTCCTCCCCGGGGACCTTCGAGTTCCGCTTCTAGCAACGCGCCCCCGGACCCCAGGAGCAGGGGCGCGGGGCTCCTCCTCCGGCTGCCAGAGTCCGTGTGCATCGGCCCCTCGGACACGCTGACTCGCTTGCCTGCGGGGAAGTGGGGAGGTGAAGCGGGGGTCCCCAGGTCCCAGCAGACCCCACACCGCACCAGCTGTGGGACCACTTGGTCCCCTGGAAGCAGGTGGGGCTCGGGGCAGGAACGGACACCCATGGGACCCGGACAGCTGCCTCTGTCCCGTCCGGGCGGTGTTCCGCAGCGGCCGCCAGGTGGAACCCGGGATGCCTGACCCACGGTCGCCCACCCCGCAGTGGCGGAGGGCAGCGACCGCTGAGCACGAAGCACCCGGGCGCGGCGGGGA